TTTTACTGGGAATGCTGGGAAAATGAAGTTACTCTTTCCATCTACACTTGAACCTGAGAGGAGGTGAAGCTGAGTTTCTAAAGCCTTTTGTCTCTAGGAGAAGAGCCTGAAAATAAAACCATGACAAAGGAAATGGAGACTGACCTCACTGGAGCACCTGGACCCAGCCATCCCTGAAGCCGTTGTGAGTGAATCATTTCCTTTTTAGTGAAATCATTCTGGATGAAGTCCCAACTGGCACTGTGGGCCAGACCATCCTGAGGTTTGTCTTCATGTCGGGCTTCAAATGTCCAGGAGACGGTTGATCACAATGGTCCTAAGACTCAAAACCCCATCTCGTAAACAACAGTAGAGAGGGGTGGACAGGTTCATTCTGGAAGAAAAGTTACCTTCGAATATTTGCACAGTGGATGCTCTGATTGTCTATAACTGTGTGACAAACGACCTGAAACTTAGTAGCTTAAACAGCCACCATTTTATTGTCTCTGGTTTTGGGGGTCAGGAATTCCAACAGAGTTCGTTTGGGTCATTCTTTTGTTCTGTGCATCGACTGAGGTCACTTGGTGGCATTCAGTTGGTGAATGGGCTGGACTGGAAGATCTAAGACAGCTTCACTCACATATCTTGTGCCCTGGCAGGGATGGCTGGAGGGCTGAGCTCAGCTGGAGCTGGTGACCAGAGCTCCCACATGTGGCCTCTTCCGCATGGCAGCCTCTGGGCAGTGAGGCTCCTTCCATTCAGCTCAGGGCTCCAAAGGCGCAAGGACCGAGAGTCAGGCATGGTAGCTGCGAGTCTCTCAAACCCTGGGCCCTGAAACTAGCACAGGTCAGTTTTACCATGTTGTGTTGGTCAAGCGGTCCCAGATCCTGCTGCCCAGATTCAAGGGGAAACAATGAAGGCCCTTTGTCTTGATGGGAGGAGTCAGTGACTTTGCAGGCATCTCTGTCCGAGTAGTTTTGAGGAATAACATATATACTATATATTACTATATATAGTATATATATTATTAATATCAATAGTATTACTATAAATACAATATTAGTATATTATTAATATTAATGGTATGTTATATATATATATATATACATTTGCTATATATACTTTTTTTTTTGAGAGTGAGCACACGAGCAGGGAGTGGAGAGAAAGGCAGAAGGAGAGGGAGACAGAGTCTTAAGCAGGCTCCATACTCAGCATGGAACCCGACTTGGGGCTATCTCACGACCCTGAGATCATGATCTGAGCCAAAATCAAGAGTCAGATGCTTAACCCACTGAGCCACCCAGGAGCCCCATGGGGAATATCGAGCACCTGCTATGTACCAGGCCTGGTGCTAAGGACATCCTGAATTTATCTCACTTAGCTCAACGAGGCAGATACTGCTTTTTATAGACGAGACCCTGGAGGTTCATGGCCTGCTCAGGGGCAGAGATGTAAATGGCAACACTGGGATTTGAACCCAGGACTTTCTGACTCCACACTTAGTGTTTATGCCATGCCGAAAAGAAATTAGGCTTGTCCTCTGTGGTCCCAAGGGCAGAACCTGGCCAAGGATGGGGCTGCAGGGATAAAGGTTCTGCTCCAGATGGGAAAGGCCTTTCTTGCAATTTGAGCTGGCCATGACCGAATGGGACCCACTTGGAAGATAGTTTCCTGTCACCATAGCAATAGAAACAGAGGCTGGTGATTCCAGCATCAGATAGGGGGGTGGAGAGAGGTTAGGTCCCTTCTTCTTGGGGAGCCTAGGATTCCACGGTTCCTGTCCCAGGAATCATCTGTGTGATCTTTTTTTTTTTTTTAAGATTTTATTTCTTTATGTGAGAGAGAGAGAATGAGAGAGAAAGCACATGAGGGGGGGAGGGTCAGAGGGAGAAGCAGACTCCCCGCCGAGCAGGGAGCCCGACGCGGGACTCGATCCCGGGACTCCAGGATCATGACCTGAGCCGAAGGCAGTCGCTTAACCAACTGAGCCACCCAGGTGCCCTCATCTGTGTGATCTTAATCTTCCTTTTCTTTCTACTGACACTGCCTTCATTTTGGAGGTGTCTTAGTCATCTAATGCTGCATAACAAATATAGCAGCTAAGACAACACACAAATATTACATCATAGTTTCTGTGGATCAGAAAGGCAGGCAAGGCTTAGCTAGCCCTCGGGCTCAGGTTCCCTCACGGTCTGCAAGCAGGGCGTCAGCCAGGGCCACAGTCATCCCCAGAGTGAGCTGGGACCGGATCAGCTTCCAAGCTCCCTCATGGGGTTGTTGGCAAGATTTGGGTCCTTGGGGGCTACTGTGCTGAGGTCTTGATTCCTCATAAGCCGTTAGCTAGAGGTCTCCCTTGGCTCCTGGCCACACGGGCCTCTCCCTAGAGCATCCCACAACAGGACAGCGAGCAAGCAAGAGTGCCAACTGCAAAGTGTGATCAGACGGAAGTCATGGTCATTTTAACACAGAGCGACAACCTGTTGCTTTTGTAGTGTTGTATTTGTGAGAAGAAGTTACTAGGTCCAGACCACACTCAAGGGGAGGGATGCACAGGGGCATGAGGAGTGGAGTATGGCATCATGGCGTCACAGCATGACAGAGTAATGGAATATAGCCTCATGGCATGATGGAGGCCATCTTAAAAGTCTGGCTACCCCGGGCGAAGATGGTGGGGTGCTTTCTGCCTTCAGGCCCTTTGCACAGGCTGCTTTCTTTGCCTAAAATGCTCTCTCCACCCCTGTCCTTTTCGTTTTGTTGGGTCTCAGCTTAGAGGTCACTTCCTCAGAAAAACCTTCCCGGAACCCAAAATACCGGCATGTCTCTGTTATCTGCAAATGCATGTCTTGTCTGTGGCACTTACTACAGTGACAGGTACGAGTGATAAAGCAGCTAATATTTACGTCCTCCAGATCCTGTGCCAGGTGCTCAGTGCTGTACATGTGCAAGCTCACTTGATTCTTCTGACAGCTCCCCGAGATAGGGACTGTTGGTCACCCACATTTTACAGAGGGAGAGACTGCTGCTCGGAGAGGCTAAGTAACATTGCTGAAAGCCATTCGCTAGCAAAGGGCCCGACCAGGCCGTCTTCCCCCAGAGCCTGTGCGCTTGGGCCCTCTGCCACACAGCCTCTCCCAGCAGCTAGTGCACTGTGTGATTTTTTTTTTTTTTTTTTAATCTTTGACTCCCCACTAGGCTGTGAGCTGTCTCTGCTGTGCTCACACTGTCCTAGCTCTGGCACCTGGCACAGTGCCCGGCTCAGGGTGGGTGCTTAATAATGCAGAGGGATGGAGAAAATGGAGTCCTGCCAGAAGCCAGGAAGGGCGAGACCTGCCTTGTGGAGAGTCAGCTTTGAAAGCCCGCATTCAAGGAGCAGCTAAACACCCTCTGGCATCACTCCCTTCTTACTAATCTGGCCTCAACTTCCCTTTTCTGTCCCCAAGCACTTACACCCTAGGATCAGGGCATCTCACACCCTCCTCCAAACACATGTGACACTGCACACTCCATGTTTTTGCTCCCTCCTTCCGTCCCCAAAAACCTCTTTCAGATGCCTCCTCCTCTAAGGAGTCTTCCCTGATCTCCCAACTTGGTGGAGTCTCTCCCTTCTTAAAGCCACCAGGGCTTTGGCCTGTACTTCCTCACCCTCCCTGGGCCTCAGCCTCCTGAACTCTAAAATGAGGAGAGCCCGGGTGCCATGGTCTGTTAAATTTCTTCCAGCTTCTAAAGCATCCAGGATTAAGGAGGGCAGGTGATGCAATGAGCACTGGGTGTTATATAAGACTGATGAATCACTGGTCTCTACCTCTGAAACTAATAACACATTATATGTTAGTTAGTTGAATTTAAATTAAAAAAAGAATAAAGCATACAGGATTCCACTCCGGAGTCTTACGATGGCTTTACCCTCCCCACCAGTCTGTGAGTTCCTTGAAGGGCCGAGACTATTTCCTTTATCTCTCCTCAGTGTCCACCACAGAGCATAGTGATTTTTAGGCATTCATAAATATTTTTTTGTGAGGAAATGGTTGGGGGGGGCAGGTTGAGATGGCAGCTCAGTGGAGATGTATATCTCCTGTGTCTGCTCAAAATCCCATGGAAAGAGGGAAAAGATCATTTATTAAAAGGCTGAATGATGGAAAACTCTAAAGAATGCCACCAGAAGGCATCATGCTCCTTGATTTCAAACTGTATTACAAAGCTGTAGTAATCAAAACAGTATGCTATTGGCATAAAAACAGTCAAATAGACAAATGGAACAGAACAGAAAGCCCAGAAATAATCCCACACATATATGGTCAATTAATTTACAACAAAGGACCCAAGAATATACAATGGAGAAAGGACAGTCTCTCCAATAAATGGTGTTGGGAAAACTGGACAGCCACATGCAAAAGAATGAAACTGGACCACTATCTCACACCATATATAAAAAATAACTCAAACTGGATTAAAGATTTGAATGTAAGATCTGAAACCATAAGACTCCTAGAAGAAACATGGGCAGAAAACTCCCTGACGTCAGTCTTGGTGATGATTTTTTTTTTTATTTGATACCAAAAGCAAAGGGAACAAAAGCAAAAATAAACAAATGGGACTCCATTAAACTAAAAAGCTTCTGCACAGCAAAGGAAACCATCAACAAAGTGAAAAGGCAACCTATTAAATGGGAAAAAATGTCTGCAAATCATTTATCTGAGAAGGGGTTAATATTCAAAGTATAAAAAGAACTCGTATAACCCAATAGCTGAGAACTAAACAATCTGATTAAAGAATGGGCAGAGGACACATTTCTCCCAAGAAGACATACAGATGGCCAACAGATACATGAAAAAATGCTCAGCATCTCTAATCATTAGGGAAATGCAAATCAAAACCGCAATGAGGTATCACCTTACACCTGTTAGAATGGCTATTAACAAAAAGAAAAGAAATAACAAGAGTTGGTGAGGATGTGGAGAAAGGGGAACCCTCTAACACTGTTGGTGGGAATGCAAACTGGTGCAGCCACTCTGGAAAACAGTATGGAATTTCCTCAAAAAATAAAAAATAAACGACCCTATAATCCAGCAATTCCACTTCTGGGTATTTATCAGAGGGAAATGAAAACACTAAATGGAAAACATATATGCACCTTCGTGTTCATTGCATTATTAAACTGATAAGAACAGATACTACACTTGATCTTAGCCAAAAGGCCGAGAAGCGATGTGTTCATTGCATTATTTACAATAGCCAAACACTGGAAACAACCCAAATGTCCATTGATGGATGAATGGATAAACAAATCCATTCACATACGATGGAAAAGTGATTCAGCCTTCAAAAGGAATGAAATTCTGACAAATGCTACAACATGAATGAACTTTAAAGACATTACGCTCAATGAAATAAGACACGGAAGGACAAATATTGTATGAAGCCACTTACACGAGACACCAAGAGTAGTCAAATTCATAGAGAAAGTAGAATGGTGGTTTCCAGGAGCTAGAGAGAGACAAGAATGGGGAGTTATTGTTTCATGGGGATAGAGTTTAGTTTGGGAAGATGGAAAAGTTCTGGAGATGGACGGTGGTGATGGTTGTACAACCATGAATATATCCAAGGTTACTAAACTATATACTTGAAAATTGCTAAAATGGTAAATTTTATGTTATGTATATTTTACCATAGTAAAACATTTTATAATGAACAAAATATCTGAATAGACATGCCAGCAAAGAAGATACATGAATGGCTATTAAGCACATGAAAGGATACTCAACATCATTAATATCGGAGAAATGCAAATCGAAACCATAATGCAATACCACTTTACACTTACTAGGAATGGCTAGGGTAAAAAATTCAGGCATCTAAGAGGGCTGGCGAGGATGTGGAAAACACACAACCCCTATGTACTGCTAGTGGAAGTGTAAAATGGTACAGCCACTTTGGAAAGCAATTTGGCAATTTCTCCAAAAAGTAAACACAGAGCTACCGTAAGACCCAGCTCTTCCACTCCTAAATATCTAACCAAGAGAAATAAAAACATATGTCCACACAAAGACTCATGCACCAACGTTCATAGCCATTTATGAACACAGCTATTATTTGAAAGAGCCAAAAAGTGCAAACAATTCAAACGTCCATCAACTGGTGAATGGATAAATATAATGTGATATATCCATACACTGAAACACCTATTCAGCAATAACAAACAAACAAACGAATGAATGACTAAGACATGCAACTACGTGTCATGAATCTCAGACACTACGCTAAGTGAAGGATGCAAAAGACTATGTAGGATTCCATTTATATGAAATGTCTAGAAAAGGCAAACTGATAGAGACGGAAAGCAGGTCATTCACTGGTGGCCTAGGGCTGGTGGTGGGAGCAAGAATAAACTGCAAATGGGCACAGCAGAGCTTCTGGATGACGATAATATTTTAAAACTGTATTGTGGTGATGGTGGCACAACTCTAAAAACTTGTTAATATAATTGAATTGTACACTTACAATCAGTGAATTTTATATCATGTAAACTATATCTTAAAAAGGGGTTAAAAAACAAGAAAAGAGAATTCCACCAGAAGCCTGAAACCTTTGAGAACTTCCTGAAAAACAAAAAAGCGGATAGAAAACAAAGGATCAGTGGCCAACATATACAAAGAGCTTCTACAAATCAATAAGAATACTACAAACAAATGAATAGAAAATAGGACAAAGGACATGAATCAGTAGTTCACAGAAAATGACAACCAAGGGCCAATAAATCATCGGAAAGGGGCTTAGCCTTACTGTTAAAAGGAAAGGTGTAATTTAAAATCTAAGATGTCATTTTCACCCATCAGGTTGACATAAAAAATTCAAGGTTAATATGCAGGGTTGATGAGGAAATGGAGCATTGAACACTCTCAGACATTGCTGGTGGAATGCAAGTTGGAACAGTCCCAGTGAAGGACTTTTGGCAAGATCTATAAAAAGGGCTGTTTCTTGTACTCCAGCAATTTGATGTATCAGCTCACAACTCAGAGAAACTCACTGACCCATGTGTACGAGAAGAAGCCGCAGTCTGCATGTTGGAAAAAGTGGAATCCACCATTAGTTTGTAAGAAAATTTTGAAATGAACTGTGATATAATCATTCCGTGATATACTCTATAGCAGTTATTAGCTATCTATGTCCTAACAGAAATATCTCCAAGGCACATGGTTGAGTGGAAAAAAAAAAAAAAAAGTAAGTTGTGGTATTCACTTGCATACGTAAAAATTAACCAAACAGAAGTGAATGCAGGCTCTTTCTAAAAGATTAATATGAATAAAGCTAAAGATCTCCTTTGATTGGAAAAATCCCACTCTTCATATATATATGAAGTTTTTTAAAAAAGATTTTATTTGTTTATTTGAGAGAGAGAGAGTGCATGCACCAGAGAGAGAGAGAGCGAGAGAGAGAGCGTGAGCATGAGCTGGGAGTGGGGGGCAGAGGAAGAGGGAGAGAGAAAGGCAGAGTCCTCACTGAGCAGGGAGCCCAACGGGTGGGGCTCTATCCCAGGATGCAGAGATCATGACCTGAGCTGAAGGCAGACGCTTAATCGACTGAACCACCCCGGTGCCCCTATATGTGAAGTTTTAATTTCCCTTTTTAATGTAATTAGTATTATACTATATGTACCATTTTACATGTTTGGTTTTGGGGTTTTTATTTGTTTGTTTTTACTTAATCATAGGTTGTGGTGGTCTTTCCATAGCAGTACCCAGAGCCCTACATCATCCTTTTTTTTAAAGATTTCATTATTTTATTTATTAGAGAGCACAAGCAGAGGGAATAGCAGGCAGAGGGAGAAGCAGACTCCCCACTGAGCAAGGAGCCTGATACAGGACTCAATCCCAGGACCGTGGGGTCATGACCTGAGCCAAAGGCAGACGCTTAACTGACTGAGCCACCCAATGTGTGCTTTACATCATCCTTTTTTTTTTAAGGTGTCTCTTTATTTTTTTTTAATTTTTTTATTGTTGTTAATCATCATATATTACATCATTAGTTTTTGATGTAGTGTTCCATGATTCATTGTTTGTGCATAACACCCAGTGCTTACATCATCCTTTTTATTAGGTGTTCATTATGGGGGCGCCTGGGTGGCTCAGTCGTTAAGCATCTGCCTTCGGCTCAGGTCATGATCCCAGGGTCCTGGGATTGAGCCCCCCCTCGGGCTCCCTGCTCAGCGGGAAGCCTGCTTCTCTCTCTCCCACTCCCCCTGCTTGTGTTCCTGCTCTCGCTGTGTCTCTCTGTCAAATGTTTTATGTAGTTATTTGATGGAGAAAGAAAGAGCACTAGCAGGGGGAGCGGCAGAGGGAGAGCGAGAAGCAGACTCCCCGCTGAGTAGGGAGCCCAAAGTGGGGCTCGATCCCAGGACCCCAGGATCATGACCTGAGCTGAAGGCAGACGCTTAACTAACTGGGCCACCCAGGCACCCCTATATCCTTGGAAAATTTTAAATCCTGCTGTTTATTTCTTATTGTTGGTCCCCCCCCCACACACACACACACTGTATTTGACCATGACATAACCATTTTTTTAAGTTTATTTATTTATTTATTTTAGTAATCTCTACACCCAACTTAGGGCTCGAACTCGCCACCCTGAGATCAAGAGTTGTGTGCTTTTCCAACTGAGCCAGCCAGGCTCCCTTCTTAAACATTTTTTTTTTTAAAAGATTTTATTTATTTATTTGAGAGACAGAGAGAATGAGAGAGAAAGCACATGAGATGGGGGGAGGGTCAGAGGGAGAAGCAGACTCCCTGCTCAGCAGGGAGCCCGATGTGGGACTCGATCCAGGGACTCCAGGATCATGACCTGAGCCGAAGGCAGTCGCTTAACCAACTGAGCCACCCAGGCGCCCTTAAACATTTTTTTTTTAAAAAGATTATTTATTTGATGGAGAGAGAGCTTGCACAAGCAAGGAAAGCAGTAGAGGGAGAAGGAAAAGCAGGCTCCCCGTTGAGCAGGGAGCCCAATGCGGGGCTCAATCCCGGGACCCTGGGGTCATGACCTGAGCTGAAGGCAGACGCTTAACTGACTGAGCCACCCAGGCATCTCTCCTCTAATATTTTTTCAAAAGGTTTTATTTATTTATTTGAGAGAGATGGCACCTGAGCCAGGGTGGGGGGCGGGTAACAGAGAGAGAGAGAGAGAGGAACAAGCAGACTCCACGTGCTGAGCCGGGCTCGTAGAGGGGCTCAATCCCACCACCCTGAAATCATGACCTGAGCCAAATCAAGAGTCAGATGCTTAACCGACTGAGCCACCCAGGTGCCCCCAGTTTTGTCTTTTTTGTGACTGGCTTACAACTTCACGTTGTAGCATATATCAAAACTTCTTTCCTTTCTTTTTTTTTTTTAAGATTTTATTTATCCCGCCGAGCAGGGAGCCCGATGTAGGACTCGATCCCGGGACTCCAGGATCATGACCTGAGCCGAAGGCAGTTGCTTAACCAACTGAGCCACCCAGGCGCCCAGAACTTCTTTCCTTTCAGTGAATGAATAATATTCCACTGTATGTATATACCACATTCTGTTTACCCATTCTTCTATCAGTGGATACCTACATTGCTTCCACCTTTTGGCTATTGTGAATAATGCTGCTATGAACATGGGTCTACAAATATCTCTTTGAGACCCTGCTTTCATTTCTTTTGGGTATTACCCAAAGGTGGAATTGCTGGGTTCTATGGTAATTCCATCTTTAATTTTTTGAAGAGCTGCCATTCTGTTTCCATAGTGGCTGCACCATTTTGCATTTCCACCACTGGAGCACAAGGATTCCAGTTTCTTCACATCCTTGCCAACACTTGTTACTTTGTTCTTTCATAGTAGTGATCTGCTATGGTCTGAATGTGTCTCCTGGGGCTTTGGGAGGTGCCTGGGTCATGAGGTGGAGCTCTCATGCATGAGATTAGTGCTCTTCTAAAAGAGACCCCACAGGGGGTGCCTGGGTGGCTCAGATGGTTAGGCATCTGCCTTCGGCTCAGGTCACGATCCCAGGGTCCTGGGATCGAGTCCCGCATCGGGCTCCCTGCTCCTTGGGAGCCTGCTTCTTCCTCTGCTTCTCTCTCTCTCTCTCCCTCTGTCTCTCAGGAATAAATAAATAAAATTTAAAAAAATATATTAAAAAAAAAATAAAAATAAAAGAGACCCCACAGGGCTCCCTAGTCCCTTCTGCCATGCTG